AATTTGTTTGTTACTCTATAGCCCATTCCAGTATCTAACAACCTGCTCTAATAGTAAAAAAAATAATGTTAAGCAGAAATAGCAGGATTAAATTCTCAGCAATACCTGTGGCTTTTCCTGCGCAAACTTAACCATGTCCTCTGGGTTTACTTCCAGAGGATCATAACCCAGTTTTGCCTTCGTAACAGCCTGAAATTTAATAAAAAGGCAATCATAACTTAAAATTTACCATGAATTCCTTAACAGAAGGAATATATAATTGTAAAAGTTAAAATAATTGCCAACAGAAAGAAGTAGAATGAACCTTCAGACCATGGCTTCCCTGAGGAAGATAGCTATCACGTTTCACCCAAGCAAAACAATCCAAATGGCAAGCAAATTTAGCTCGACATTCACCTTGATTATGATCACAACGGAATCCCAATTCCTGCAACCACGAGGAAGAAAAAAAGACATCTGTTGAATTGCAGTTGATGACACTATGATCCAATAGAAGATAATAGGAATGAGATAGGAACAGACGAGTAAGATGCAGAAAAACAGGTTAAAAGAAGAAGCAAAAGAAAGATGAAAAAAAAAAAAAAAGAGAAGCAAGAAATTGAAGTTTCTGAAATAGAACTGAGAATAGAAAACCATGCAGACAGAAAAAAAAATTATACAAATAACAACGATGGAAATATTTGCGTACCTCATTCATTTTTATTCCATGATGAGATGCTCTCCGTTCTATAAATGGCCAGTCAAAAAAGTCACCGTTGTATGTAACATATATACCAGGTTTCAACTCTTGCATATGAGAAAACCATTTTTGGAGGAGTTCAACCTACAAGACAGACCCAAGAAGGCAACTCGCTTCTATATCAAAGTTTCTTGAATAATATTCAAATCAGGAGAAAATTTATAATACCTCGTCTTTAACATTAGTCACTTTGAAATAGCCTTCAAATTCTGGTTTGGGTGTATATTCCAGATCTTCTATGTCTTCGCCAACACACTGAATTAAGTGCAAAAATACAACGTTTATAATCAAAAAACCAAACAAGATTGACGTGATACAAATATTCAAAGGAAAGGATAGAGCTGAATATAAACTAGATATGACATATACAATGAAAACCTGTTAACAAATCAGAAATCATGTTTTAAAATTATTTAGCAGAATAGTACGCTAGTCCAAAAACAGTCTTAAAGTCACATCATACAAAATCAATTAAACGTGTGGGATAATCTTATATGAATTGTTTCTGATTTCTTGAGGATTAAGAGTAGAATAAATAAAAAAGGAAAACACTCAGCGTATATGATTATTTCCTCTGCTGATTGCTTGACCTAATCTAAAAGATGGCAAAACAGGAGTATATAGCAGCTTCTCTCCATTAATGATATAAAACCTCCTCCACCCATCATGCAAGATATCATCAATATGATAGCAAATTTAAAACAGACAAATTCCTACCACAGTTACCTCTCTGTTAGTAATTAGAAAACCTTGTCCATCAACCATGTAGGATATCATCATAATTTGATCATATTCAGCATCCGGAAACTTTAACGGAAGCTTTGTTGTCTCAATATCGAATGCACAAACACGAACTTCTGCGCGTTGAAGAAGATCTGACCTCTTCTCTAGTATGACATCAGTGCTGGAAATACTGACATTGTACCATTGCCCACTCCTCACATCTGGACACCAAGAAAAACATCATGATGTTGACAAACTTAGGGACTAAACAGACATTTTAGACTGACTAAACTGGTTACCATTATCAATTGCAAATCGAACATGATAAGGGACATCGTACTCGCGGATGTCCACAATAGAGTCTAAGCAATCTTGTGGACGTTGTTCTCTGTGTTCCAAGAACAAAAAAAACACCATCAGGATAGCTTAAATTTCTGAAACTAAACTTGAAAAAATAACTAAGAAACTTCTGATATTAAGAGGTATATTTGAAAACCAACAAAACTCTTGAATGATTTAGCCTAGGATTTTACCGTTTTCCAGCCAATATGGACTCGTAAGCTTCAAGTGCATCAAATTTAGCCTGGTTTCGTTCGACAATGTGCAACACATCCCTCTTGACTTCCATCAATTGTTGCACAGTATCAAATGATACTTTTAAATATTTCTTTTGCAGGCCAGATAGATGATTTTTCTGCTCATGAGCATAAGAGATGAAGAAACTCAAAATGGTAAGAAAGCTAGAAAGGCACCCTACGAGAAGTAACAACTAAAGAGGTACTGAAACCTTCATATCCCTAAAAAAAAAAATTAACTTTAAACTACAGCCCATGTTGCATACAAGCAAAGGCATAGAGATATCACCATATGGATGGCGAATCACCTTTTGGACTTATTACTACAAGTGCTAAGTTTTTAGGTTAAAAGAAGAGAATAATAACTAAAGGTTGTAGCAAAAGTTTCTGATATGAGTCTTTACAGAGAAAACAACAGCATTAATCAACTAACAGAAGACACTGGTCAACTAAATCACACAATCAAGATGAAATTACACTGGTAGAAGTCAGACTTAAACTAATAAACAGGTTATGCATTGCTGACTTACAAGATCAAGATCCTCTTTTTCAACAATCTCGATATCAGCAACTTGTCTTTCATATCGGCGTCTCAAGTAGGCTTCAACTTCCAATTCCATCTTGTCCTGTAATTCGGCATTGCAGTTTTATTGAGATATAGGAAGAAATTTACATGAGTCACTAAAGTAGCATTCAGATGATAAACAGAGATATAATCATACTTTGGTGGCAGCATAGAAGTAAGGGCGGAACTTGTACTTGGTCTTGAAAGAAAACCCATCCTGAAAAGAAATCCTCAACACAGTCAACACTTAGAAAATACAACAGCAAAAAATATAAATGTTCATCAACTTATACGAAGCTGACATAGTAATGACCATGAATGAAGCAGCTCACCTGAGTTACAAAGTAAAGGTCCACGCAACTAAAGACTTTCCCAGTATCGCGATCTTCCCAAGATGACTACAAAACGTAGTAAATTATAATAGTTATCGTACTTTCGAATCTCTGTATAGTAAAAATAAAAAAATGATACTCGCACTTTGGCATCTCCTAGAATCCTAAATTCTCACAGTTAGGGAGTTTACTGTATGGCTCAATCGCAAATGCCTATAACTAATTCATATATAATCAAGTCCGAAACTAACTCTAATACTCTCAATTAACAAAAGGTTGGGTCGAGATGAGAGTGCAGTTATGGGAGAACTCACCGATGCGAAGGTGAGTAGCCACCCAAGTCGCGTTTCACCTTCAGAGAAAAGCCCAAATCCGAGTTTAGATTCGAGTTCATCTTCTGCAGTGTTAACTACTTTGGGCTTCTTCGACCACCGTGAGTCCTTTCGATCCCGTCTTCGATTATCCCCGCTCATTGTTCGGCGAAGGAAAAAAAAATAAAGCGGGACAGAACAAATCAGAATCCTATATAGGAGGATTGACCCTTCCTGGAGAAGCTCCGAAGGTGAATTAGTTTTTTTCTCTCCGAGAGTGAATTAGGGTCAAAAACAAAAAGGGCTTTTACTGATGTAGGGCTTTGTGGATGCTGGAGAAAGTGAGTGAAAGTCTGTAGGAGAGAGAGAGAGTTTTTTTTTCCTTTTTTTTTTTTCATTTTCCCGCGCTTTGGAACTTTTAACCAAATTACTGAAAATACCCTCACTTTTGGAGTCAAATCTTATTGGGTCAATGTACAAGCCCATCTGTAGCGAATTTGGACCTGCTCCAACATTGAATTGGACTATGCTTTTTTAAGGTTTGTAGTCGAACTCGACCTGAGTCTCTCTCTCAAGAGATTTTTGGTTCAAAAACCTATCTGGTTTGACAAAGAAAGAAACAAAAGAAGCATATCTGAAATTTGATGCGCACTTTTATTTTGGATTTCTAGCATATTCAGGATATGTCATTATGAACGCTAATTTGAATGTTTCAATTACTTATTTTATGCTATTAAATGTATGTCATCGTCTCAAATTCCACAAAACGTGGACCACAAAAATATAATACTTAAGAAATTCGAGAAACGTCCAAGAAAACGTAACGTAATACGGTAATAGTATAAAATAGCTAACGTTGTTCAAGTCGGCAGGTCTTGACCCTCTTTCTGCTTCTTACTCTCGTCAATTAATTGAAACATCAGCCCATCTGGACCATAGATTCACATAACTGCGTAGATAATAAGAATTTCCCCAATCATTTTACGTGTCATAATTGGTTCAGCTGCTGACTGCTGAGCCACCGGCACCGGCACCAGTGTCTAAACCTACTCGTCTGAGAGGATTGAGGAGAGAGACAGAGTCGAAATAAGTAAATTGGGCCTCCTTAAACCCTTCACAATGGGCCTTATATATCTGCTTATGGTCATCTGGGCCGTATATAAATGGAAAATAATCCCTAGATTAGTAAAAGAGAAGTACAAAATTCTCTTCCGGGTCAGGTTAAATTAAAAAAATTATCCAAAATCTCAAATTGGATGTTTATAATCGGATAAATTAATGGGTTCGGGCTAGATCCATTGCCTATTTTTTTGCTTACTACAAAACCGAATTTTATGATGTATATATCGTAGATACTATCCAAAATATCCAAAAAAAATCCTAACTACAAAATCATAATGGTTAAGATTTTTAAAAATTATGGATAAAAATTTATTTCTTTTTAAACAATTCACTGTTCCCTAATTTTTCTATTTTGCAGCTTGCAATTTTGATGTCTTTGGAAAACGATGGAGAATTAGAGATCAACAACGTTGTCCCCAATAAACTCAAGATAAAAATATGCAGCAACAGATTAGTTAGTCCTAATTCTTATTATTAGATATATGATTTTGATTAAGTGTCCAGATTTTTTTTCCTGGTTTCCTCCATATTTTTAATGAACATAACTGATTTTTTTTTTGGCTTTCATTTTGAAATAATAATTGTTAATTAAAAATAAATGAAATAATAATAAATATTATATAACACGTTAAAAATAAAATAAACCTGAAATCATTCCTCCGCGCTGTAGTGCGGATCCGATCCTAGTGTATTTGGATTTGCAAATCAAAAACAATGTAAACTCCGGATCGGGTCGGTTTTAGTTGAATTTCGGTCAACTGCCGGTATGATTTATTCAACTGTGACTTGTAAAGGTGGGTTGTGGTAGGTAGAGATTTGGCCACACAAACGAACTGTACCCTACACTTTTGCTTTTTCCTTGAGCTCGAAAATTCTAATTCGTTGACTTGACGCCATTGCCTAGCAATGAAAGCTGTATATCATCTTCTTCTTCTCCACACAATCTGAACCCAATGTTAGGGGCAAGTCAGCCGGCGCCGGCAACTGCACGAATGGCGCGTTCTGGTCGTTCTGAATGGCAGACCTCTTGCGCTATTCTAACAAGCAAGGTTGTTTCTCAAGAGCAATCTGAATCTTTACCAGTCCCTCCAGTTTCCGGCGGATTTGATCATGTGCCTGCCGTTAACGGCCATCATAGCGCCGCGCAAATGAATCTAGTTCCGATTGAGAAATCTGATGGCAATCCTTTGGTCCCGCAGCATCGTCATCATCAGCAGAAGCCTCTCAGCGTCACGGATCTCTCACCGGCTCCGATGCACGGATCTAATCTACGTGTAGCGTATCAAGGTGTTCCTGGCGCTTACTCTGAAGCAGCCGCCGGTAAAGCTTATCCTAATTGTCAAGCTGTACCTTGCGATCAATTTGAGGTAGCGTTTCAAGCGGTGGAGCTTTGGATCGCAGATCGTGCTGTGTTACCGGTTGAGAACTCTCTCGGCGGTTCTATTCACCGTAATTACGATCTTCTCCTCCGTCATCGTCTTCACATCGTCGGCGAAGTTCAGCTCCCTGTTCATCACTGTCTATTGGCTCTTCCCGGCGTCCGCAAAGAGTTCCTCACGCGCGTGATCTCACACCCTCAAGGACTCGCTCAGTGTGAGCACACGCTTACCAAGCTGGGACTCAATGTCGCACGTGAAGCCGTCGACGACACCGCTGGAGCCGCTGAGTTCATAGCCGCTAACAACCTCCGTGACACAGCTGCAATAGCGAGCGCACGCGCCGCCGAGATTTATGGTTTGGAGATTTTAGAAGACGGGATCCAAGACGACGCGAGTAACGTGACGCGCTTCGTGATGCTGGCGCGTGAGCCAATCATACCAAGAACAGATCGGCCGTTCAAAACTAGCATCGTGTTCGCTCACGAGAAAGGCACGAGCGTGCTTTACAAGGTGCTTTCGGCTTTTGCCTTCAGGGACATAAGCTTGACGAAGATCGAATCGAGGCCGAATCATAACCGTCCGATCAGGGTTGTCGATGATGCGAACGTCGGGACGGCGAAGCATTTCGAGTACATGTTCTACGTCGACTTTGAGGCCTCCATGGCGGAGACGCGTGCTCAGAATGCGTTAGCCGAGGTACAAGAGTTTACGTCGTTCTTGCGTGTGCTAGGGAGTTATCCCATGGATATGACTCCTTGGTCACCATCATCGTCAACATCATGTACTTCTTCATCGTAACCATACCATACAACTGAAAATGTAAATTTGTAGATGACAACGAATTTTTTTTTTTTTTTGTTGATCCCGTGTGTTTACAATTTAGAAAGTTACCCTAAACATTTTACTCGTTTCTAAAGAAAAAACGCTAGTCGAAAGTTTGGATTGTGAGTTAATTTTTAGGCCTGCTTCGTGTACACCTGCCAATTTAACACCTGCTTCATAACCAAGAAACTTTCAAATGTAAAGACAGATGTATTATATGGGAAGATGAATAAGAAGGGGAAACATATGCATTAATCTAAAATGGACCGTAAAAGAAGAAAAAAAAATTATCACCGTGCCAGATTAATCCATAGTGTCGCAAAGACACAAAGCACTTCTGTAGTTAATTTACTCACTGATGAATATTAGTATAGTAATTATATATGTACAAGTACAACATTGGTTGAGGAAGAAACAATAACCGATGAAGATGATGATTATGCTGGAGGCCATGTGGTGGGTGGGTTGGTGACATGACGTCGATGAAAGGTGGGGCTAGGGGAAGCTGACGAGTTGGTAAAAGAAATAATAGTTGAGGGTGGTAGGTTTGAATGTATGATCATGAGTTCGTCTTGTCCTTTTAAACCAACCGTTCATAAAATCATCGAATTTAAGGCATAGATTGGATCATTACTTGGAACTGGTTTTGCTTGGATGAATGAATGAAATATTGTTTGCACACAAAAAAGAGTTTGGATCATCTCTAAATAATGAAAATCTTACAAATTAATCGTCCTCTCGTGTACAAAAGATAATAATAATTGTAATCTTATAATCGTACGTCCGCTCATGGAGCTTTGTTTGCCTGAGAGGATTAAGCAACTCGTCATAAAAAACCTATAAAGAAATGCGTCTGCCGGGAGTCGAACCCGGGTCTATTGCTTGGAAGGCAATTATCCTAACCGTTGGACTACAGACGCTTTTGTTTATGTTGAATATAAAATTTTATTTATTCAATTCTATATTTTTATAAGCACATGCTTAAAAGTTGACCTCATTGACCCAACCCCAGTATCGCTTATTAAATGTTGGATGCAATATATATTGGCGACGTAGAATATATTGGCTATTTGGCTCGGCTTGTTATGTCTTGTAAGTTGTAATAATAATACCCTTGTGATGTTTTAAATAGATAGGAAAGAGACTGTTTCTTTGGACATTATTATATAAAATGATAAATGATATGACATAAACTGTTTCTAAAGTGAGTAAAGCATATAAATCAAGTGGAGACAGAGAGGGAGCAACTAAGAGGAAGAGATAGAGAAATGGGTGGAGAAGAAGAGGGATCAGGAAATAGTAAAGAAAAAAGAGGGGAAGAAGTAGTTGATGCTGGTTCTCTCTTCGTCCTTAAATCCAAAGGTAAGTTATATAGATAGACATAGTCACATCATATAATACACAACAAGGCAAGAAATTTTGACGCAAAATATATAATTTGATGATGGGAACTAGGGACATGGTGGCACTGCGGATTCCACTTGACGACGTCGATAGTGGCGCCGCCGCTACTTAGTCTACCGTACGCTTTCAAGTTCTTGGGATGGGTCGCCGGAATATCATGTCTAGTAGGAGGAGCGGCCGTGACTTTCTACTCATACACACTTCTGTCTCTCACCCTCCAGCACCATGCTTCCCACGGCCACCGCTACCTCCGGTTCCGTGACATGGCTTACCATATCCTCGGTAATTCTCTCTTTTTTTTTCCTTTTTACCTTTCCTTTATCCATATTTATCTTTGTGAATTTCATTTAAATTTGTTGACATGTAGTTAACGACTTACGTGTCTATATGAACTTTTACATGATATTTCATCCACACACAATAAAGTATTGTATTATATATGTGGATTATATCATTTTTGAATTAGGTGTGGAAAACGCAACTTGGAATACGTACATACATTAATGTTTTCCGATTGATACAGAAGATGAACCGAAATTTATAACGCAATTAGAATAAGATTGGTTTGGACTCCTCAAAATTTTGTTCTTGTTGGCTTACGACTTTACGAGCATAATATATTTCTGTAGAGATATAATTTGTTTAGTGTTTTGATTTTCAGATATTGTATAAGAAAAAGAAAACCACGTATATGAATTTCATCATATAATATTATAATTTACTGCTTTATGGTATGATTCGTGCCAATTTATCGGGAGTCGGTTCGAAAAGTGGACCATTCCACTCATATCAATGATTTATATCTCTTTCTCGGCCACGTGCTCATATCTAAGTTTTTATATTCAACTTGTCTACGACTTGCGTTTTTTTTTTTTTTTTTTTTTGTCATGTTAATTTCAACTTTAAAAGTATCGTGTGCCGATGAAAAAGAGGTAATCCCACGTAAGTAATGTTGGATAGATGATCTATCATAAATCCGATCTGCTATATAAAGTAATCATGTTCGTAATGCAATTTTAATTAGTTTTCTCAATCATGCATGTAAGAATATAATAAATTAACCTCCCGGCTTAAACAACGTTGAATAATTTGTATCCTCTGGAATTAAACAACTCATGGGTTTTTGTGTTGAATAAAGGTCCGAAATGGGGGAGGTACTACGTGGGACCAATACAAATGGCGGTGTGCTATGGTGTGGTTATTGCCAATGCGCTTCTTGGAGGCCAATGCCTTAAGGCAATGTATTTGGTAATGCAGCCTGATGGGGGAATGAAACTCTTTGAGTTTGTGATTATCTTTGGAGCTTTGCTTTTGGTTTTGGCACAAATCCCATCTTTTCACTCTCTACGGCACATCAACTTCTTCTCTCTCCTCCTTTGCCTTCTCTACAGTGCTTCCGCCTCTGCTGCTTCCATCTACATTGGTACTCTTTCTTTACTAAACCTCTCACTCTTAAATCTTTTAGAAGCTAATTTCATAAGATGGTAAATCCAATATTTCTTTTTCAATTACTAGGAAAAACATCAGATGCACCAGAGAAGGATTATTCAATCGTTGGTGACCAAGAAACTAGAGTGTTTGGAATCTTTAATGCCATAGCCATTATTGCCACTACATACGGCAATGGCATTATACCCGAAATTCAGGTTTCGTTTTCATAATTTCTTGGTTTCTTTATATAAGTAGAACACGGCCGCCACTTTAAAGACAGTCACACACACACGACCGAAAACGTATAACTAGTGTTTGATATATGAATATGAATCTTTGTCTTCTTTTGCAATACAGGCAACAATAGCAGCGCCAGTGAAAGAAAAAATGTTGAAAGGATTGTGTATGTGTTACATTGTAGTGATAGTAACATTCTTCACCGTAGCCATAACAGGGTATTGGGCGTTTGGTAATAAAGCCAATGGACTTATCTTCACTAATTTCTTAAATTCCGAGACAGACCATTACTTGGTTCCTACTTGGTTTATTTTTCTCATCAACCTCTTCACCGTTCTTCAACTTTCAGCTGTTGCTGTGGTAAATACATTACACAATAAAGTCTGACGACATAACTATGCTACATTTGTTTTCACATGTAAAGTTCCTAATTTTGAATTATATACGCAGGTATACCTACAGCCTATAAACGATATACTGGAAAGTGTAATCAGTGATCCAACAAAGAAAGAATTCTCAGTACGCAATGTCATCCCTCGACTAGCTGCTCGTTCCCTCTTCGTCATGGTGGCTACAATCTTCGCGGCAATGCTTCCATTTTTTGGAGACGTGAACTCCTTGTTAGGTGCTTTCGGGTTTATACCTCTGGACTTTGTTCTACCTGTCGTGTTCTTCAACTTCACGTTCAAGCCATCTAAAAAGAGTTTCATATTTTGGATCAACACTTTGATCGCCGTGGTCTTTTCTTGTTTAGGAGTGATTGCTATGGTCGCCGCGGTTAGACAGATTATTATGGACGCCAATACGTATAAGTTGTTTGCGGATGTATAAAAAACACATGCAAGCTTTCCGAGTGAGATACTGAGATTGTTATCTATACTATTAATTGGGAAGGACAACTTGAAGCCAAACACTCCCTAATTCAAAAAGAAAATTTCATGAAATATATTCCAGTTGCCAAACAAAACTATTGACAGCTATTGACAGCAAAAAAAAAAAAACAATCTATATTTATGGAAATCATAATAATATTTTACCATAAAAAGTGGACAATTAATTTCAAAATTAAATATATGTAAACATGTCTATTTTGAATATACATAAACATATTTAATATTAATTTAATATTTTAATATAATTTCGAAATTAATAGTATAGATATAGAATGAAATCTAATAAAACAAAATCATCATATATCTAAAAAACAAAGATAACATTTTTTAGATTAATAAAAAGATAAAAAAAATATGTTAGCATATGAAATAATCAACTAATCAAATTCTACATAGTATATATACATAACTGATCATATCATCAAATTTTTAAAAAATATATAATTTTTAAATATAAATAAAAATTAAACAAATCAATAATTAAATATTTGTTTGCTAAAATCATGCGAATAAACATTTTAGATCACATAAATTTCTTATTTTTACATAAAAAATATTCATATTCAAAAAACAATCTAGCAATTAAAGCACAAAAGAAATCTATAAAATGTATCATTAATTCAATTAGTTAATGGTTTTTTATTTGGTCAAACAGTTAGCTTATGATTATTCTAAACTTCTTTTTCTTATTAATTTCACACAATCTTAACAAAATAAATCTTCATCCATTGGGAATTTGCATATCATTACTATTAGCCCTGGGCAAAAAGCCCGTACCCGAAGCCCATACCCGAACCCGGCCCGTTAGGCCCGTACCGAACCCGAACCCGATTAAAGAGGATACCCGATCGGGTTTTGGTTTTGAAATTTCCGGGTTCGGGTCCGGGTTCGGGTAAACCCGAAAACCCGACCATACCCGATTAAACCCGATTTCATTCATGCGACATGCCTTTGTAATTTTGTTGATCAATTCATGAATCATGCCTTTGTAATTTTGTTGATCGATTAAGATTTTATTGCCCAGAAACTGATATACTCGAATCGATTTTCAATATTTTCATTCCCAAAATTTATCTGAGGTGAGTTCAGTGTGTTCTCTCTCTCGTACGTCTCTCTCTCTAGCACCATGTTTATTGAATTCAGTGTGTTCTGCATCGAGTTTGAAGCGTGTTTCATTGATGACGAAGCTCGTCAAGTTCGTCTCGTCAAGTTTAAGGCGTGTGTTGTGTTCTGCATTTTTTGTTTTTGTTCTTACTTCTTAGTATTGAAGCGTCAATCGTTTGTGTGATTTAGTGAAGTCAGTCATGGAATTGTGGTTCTTATATAATGGAATGATTGGAATCATGTGTTCTTATATATGCTTTGTGTTCTTATATAATGGAATGATTGGAATCATGTGTTCTTAATTATATATGATTTGTGTTCTTATATATGTTCTCTGTAACTCTTTTGGTTTCTATGCTTAGACCCTTTTGTAGATGATCTTCTTATAGTA